GTTTTTCTGGCGGGGGGGAAGTCCGTGGGGTTGACAAAGAATTGGGGGGGGGGGGTGGTAGGAAAGGATCCCTGGGCACAGAGAGCAGAGCTCTAATCCTGTTGCAGATAACATCATGTCTGCAGGCTAGGCTTGTGTGTGTTTGGGGGAGCTGGAGGGGCAGAGATTGTTAGGCAGTATTTGTTTGTAAAGCCACTTGCTCTGAAGATAATGCTTGCACTAACTTCTATTGAGAGAGCAGTGTGAGTCCCCACAAAGTCCTTTCCCAAAGTGTCTTTGAAGCCAAGAACCCATTGAAAGGAAGAAAGGCCAAGAGAGGGGATTAGTTTGTTCAGCAGCTGTGAATTTCAGTGGGAGGCTGATGAACTCCAAAGTCTTTGTTGAAATTTTTTTGTAAGGAGCCCTGCTGGAGGGAGAGACCCACACGGGGGCCGCGGCCTTAGACAAGAAGGAATCCGAAGCGGCAGGGAGCTGTAAACGGGCCACAAGGACTTTTCCCAAACACTTTTCGGAAAAGGTGTTGTGAAGAGAGCGGAGGGGGATTAGCATGTGAAATGACACTTTCCATTGACTCCACAGAGGAGAGGGGAAAAGGGCTGGCTGGCTGATTTATTAGCATTTTGTTCCCTTCTCTATTCTGCTCCCCCAGCAGCCCCCCTCCCCTTGCTCCCCTCCTCCCTGAGCCCTCTAAAGAGGTTTGGATTGGAAAAAGGAGCGGGGGGCTGCCTGTTTGTGTGTCATCTGGGCGAAGGTGACCACCTGGGAAGCTGAATGTAAATATTTCTCCTCTGAGGAATGCGCCTTCATTAAACCGAAATGAATACATGGAAGCATCCAATCCTGCCACACAATGGCAGCAGTGCCTTTACCGCTAAGGGCTCCTTGTGCCGGGGAGGGGGGACCCCTCCGGGCCCTGACCCGCTGCTGAGGTCAGCACATTTTGCAGCTGCGGTGTCGCCATTTTCTCCCGGAGAAAGAAGCGGGCGGCAGTGGGGCTCCCGCTTGTAATGCTCCCCGCATGTCCCCTTCACCAACAGGCGTCACTGTGCCCAGCGGGCACATCCTGGGCTGTGCCGTGGCCTTCATGGGGCAGTCGTGTGGGGCAATAATGTCAGCAGGTGAGGGACAGGGTAGCACAGCCTGCCATGTGCTGGGGAGGGGAAGGAAATGGGAAACAGCTTCCGCATCTTCTCCTTTTCTTATGTTGCCAGCTGGTCGTGGAATGGGGGGCACAGAGGGCCAAGGGGGTAGAAGCTGTCCTCTCTGCCATGCAGTGGTCCTCAAGCCAGCCCGTGCTAGAGCTTTCCCTGCTGGGTGAGAGGCTCTCGCCACCTCTTTGCTTTCCTGCCCAGGGATGCATCCCCACCGCAGGGAGGTGGAGGGAACTGCTGGTGGAGATGCAAGGGAGACCGAGGGCAGGGTCACTGTATTAATAAGAACCTTTGTGCAAACAGCTGGTGGTTCGTGTGTGAAGTGGAAGTGTTACAGCTTTCCCTGAGAACGGGCCAAGATTGTTTCTTGCAATTTTTGAAGGGCTAGATTCTTGCTTGACACGAATGTTCTTGCTCTGGTGAGACCCCAAGCTTGCTGTAGGTCCAAATTCCCACCCCCCATGAAGTAGTCCTGGGATTGAGGGGGTATTTGAGAACTGAGAGACACACACAGACTGCTGAGCCTGTATTAATGTATCATCTCTGAAATGGGCAACTGGGCGCCTCTCTGCCCCCTCCCATCCCCTTTACCCCTGGCAGCTGCATTGCAGTTGGATGCAACCTCAAGCAAGCTCCAGGAGAGAGCAGGCCCGTCCCCCTCCTGGCAGGGGCCGAGGTGGTGCTGCATGGAGGGAACTGGTCAGCTCTTCTTATGCTCAACAGATGGGTAAGCGGCTGGGTTTTAGTCACCGGAACTGTAACTACATACATCCACACATGCAATTGGATGGAAAAAAACCACCCAACTACTTAGACACAACAGCATTTTGCAAGCACTTGGCTACTGATTTATTGCATTGGCTATTGGTTTACAAATATTGGCTACAAGACAGGTCTAATGGCCGGTAACTTAGCTCTGCTGGCTTCTCATCTGTCTAAAGGACACTTCAAACAGCAAAGTAGACGATAACCTCACAGCCCAAGGGAGGTCACTGTGATGGTGCAGTGAGCTTCCCCAGGTCCTGCAGCTGGCAGCTTCTTCCCTCCCTACCCCAACCATGGCAAGGGAACAGAGATGCATCAACCAAATCTTCCTGCTGCTTGCTTAGCCTATAGAATATATACAATAAGCGGTAGAGGAAAAACTGTTATGTATACATCACAGTAACTGTGCAATAAATTAAACTTCAAAGTGCTTCACTTTCCTATTTACAACTCCATTAAATAGTAGCTGACATTATTTTCTCAGACTAGGAGGAAGTATTTAGTTAGTTAGCTGACAGGGTAAGAGTGCTCGGCAAGTACACCAGGAGGTGGGGAATGGGCTCAGCTGGCAGCTCCTCTCTGGGAGAGATTTGGGAGGGAACAGGGACTCGAGCAGTGTGAGGGCATCTTTATGGCATCAATCAAGGGCTTTGGCAGGGATGCTGGGGTGAAAAGGAAGACCAGACCAGGAGGCTTAGAAGATACAGAGAAAGCGTGTAAAAAGCAAGTGACGGGACTCTTCTTTTGGACAGCTGTTTAATGGGCAGGTCAAGCAGCATCTTCAATCTTGCTGCTGCCATCTCAAATGCAAAGTAAAGCGCTAGAGAGCTCAGCAAAGCTGTCAAAGGATGGGAAGTGATGCTGTGGGCCTCCTGGAGGCTGGCTTGCTGCAGGAAGCAGTTGCACACCTTTTCTATTCCCTCATAGTGTTGGGCTTAATAAAAGGCAATAACAATTTTATTTTAGTGCCTCTATTTTTTTAGGGTACTAAAAGCCTCTTCTGTTTTCGGGATTACCACTCTTGAGTTGCCCAGCTCTGGTGGTGCCATCTCAGCTTCCTCGTGCTTTCCTAAGTGTTGATCTCGCTTGCTCAAAAGCTCAGAGCAGGTGCTTGTTTGGGGAACAGACAAGCTCAAAAGAGCAGGAGCCACTGAGACCACCTGTGTTTTCAGCGATAAAACCGTAGTCACTGGATAGAGTGACTCTGGGTTGAAGGGACCAAATCTCACCTTGTTTTGTCAACACTTGAGGGTCTTCCCAGAAGTCATCACCCACTGCACTAATGGGACATGCCCTGTATGGCCAAGGCCCAGGGGCGCAGGAGTGCTCTTTTACCTTGCCTGAGCCCCAGTGAGGTGGTATTGGGAATGAGACAAGGGGAATGGTGCCAGGGGGCTGCTGGGGAGATGGGGAGGGCAGGAGAGGAGAGGGACAGATAGGACCATGGAGGAGCAGAGGCAAGTTAGAGCTTTCTCTTGAGCTTGCGGCTGGCCCCGCCACCCCCACTCCGCTCCCGCTTCTCCTTGCGGACGCAGAAATACTTAGTGACCCTTTTACGGCACTGCTCGCACCGCACGGCACAGCACCAGTGGAACTTGCAGTTGCAGCTGGACGCCCCCCCCCCCCCGCCAGCCCGCAGCCCCGGCACAGCCGCCGGCAGCTCCGCTTCTCCCACTTGCTGAGCGCCTTGCCCCTCTTCAGGCACTCCCTGCCCTCCGTGCCCAGCAGCCCCAGCGTCTTGTTCTCCAGGCAGTAGTCAGGAGAGTCTTCTAAATGGACCAGCTCCTTCTTGGAGATGGAGCTGAAGGTCTCGGCGATGGCGCCCCGGCTGGCAGCACTGTTCCCTGCCCCCTGCAGCAAGTCCACCTTCAGGGCTTTGTGGTACCTCTCCTTGAGGTAAGTGCCCACCTCCCGAAACTCGGGCAGCTGCAGCCAGCAGGTCTGGGTGGTGCAGCTCCCCGACACACCGTGGCATTTGCAAGTCCGCTTCATGGTCCCTTTCACAGCCTACAGGGTGAGGAGAGAGAGGGGATTCAGGAAAAAGGCCAGAGGGGTCCATTCTGTGCTGCAGCGCGTGGAGAAACATGGCTCCAGGCCTGTGGAGGGATTTGCCATCGACCCTCCCTGCACACTAGTCCTGCCCAGGGGTTGTCAGCTCAAAGCTCGCAGATTTGCTTCTCCATGGTACTCCCCTACTTGAACTGGGAGAAAGAGGACAACAGGAAGCCATTAACTGTAATCACGGAAGGTTTGCTACCTTAGAACAAACGCCACCCATCATGTCAGTACTGCTGCCATCCCATTCTCCTCGGCAAGGTAGTTGCTTCTTCTGGACACGTGCTTTTAGCCACAGCAAGTTGTGACTCTCCACAGTGAATGGCCAGAGCCAATCTGGTACGCGCTGTCGGGTCTGGAGGGAGAGAGGAGCTCACCTTTCTACCTGCCTCGTTGTTATGCAGGTTCATAGCAGCTCTGGCATCTTGTCCAGTCTCCAGGGCATCCACAAACTGCTTGGAAATGGCTTCCCCAAAGCCCACGTTATCGCTGCAGCCTCCCCAGAGCCAGCCTTGCCCCCCTAGGAAAGGAGATGAGATGCATGCTGTCAGGGAACCAGCCCCTCGCCTGCCTGGCTTGTGGCTCTGAGGACAAGAAAGGGTCTCTTGGGGACAAGTGATGGGAGGGAACAGCGGCTGTGGGGCAAATCCAGCCTTTCGCCTTGCGATACTCCCCGATTCTCTCCCCTTGGGCTCGTGCCATTTCTACTGAGGCCTGGATAGTGAACGGCTCATGCAGGCAGCGAAGGGGTACGTCCTGTGTGACAAACCCAGGGATTTCCAGGCTTTCTATAGAGCAGGATTCAGCAGCTGTTAATTATCATGCATTAGCAGCCATGTAGAAAAGGCTTTGGGTCTTTAGTCACCTTCCCTCAAACCCTGACTTGAACTGGTTCAGTCTGACTTGCAGGGACAGCATCTTGCTAACGTGGAGTAGCGAACTGATGGAGGCATCCCGGTCAAAGGGAACAGATTCCCCTCCGCTGGGAAACAACCCAAGCCTGGCACACAGGTATCGAGAGGGCCCTCTTTTTGGTACACCCAGAATCCTGGGATGATGTTTGGCATCTCAGAAGGGTCTGATTTTCCAATTATCATAAAAAACCAAAGGAGTCAGCACAGAACTGGGATACTGCACAGCAAGATGTGGAGGGTACTTTTCCTAACTGCGTGGGAGCTCAATAACAGCTCGGCTGACTGGAAGCACGTCATGTGGTTTGCTGCTTTTCCTCCTAGAGAAAAATGCCAAATTCTTTATGAAGATTTGGAATCTGGAACCTTCTGACCCTAACGTGCCTTGATGGTACATCTTGGGACTTGTGGTTTAATGGCCTTGTGCCTCTCTTGAAAGGCCCGGCCCTTGCCCAGACTTCCCCAGAGCATGGCAATCCCCTCTCCCAGGGAAAGGCAGGGGTGTCTCATGGGAGGTGGGTAATTGCAGTGGATGATGAAGTCCAAATCAAGAGCTGGGACCGAAGGGAGAATGGAAACCTTTCACCAACTTGGATTCAGCGCAACGGCATTTAGAATTGAATCATGCTGTTTTGGACAAGCCCAAAAGTTTCCTTTGCCTTCCAAAGTTTTAAGTTCACAATGGAAAATTTTCATGAAAACCAGATATGTTTTGGGGAAAAGAAGTGTAGCATGACTAACTCAGTTTTCCAGAGAAGACAAAATTAGGTGTGTCATAGCCCAAAAGTCTTGCTCTGCTGGAGATGGGCTATCCCATCCCTCGGACACCTAAGAAGCAGTGGCTGTTTTAAAAACTATTAGCCAATAAAGCAAATTACTAAATACTGGACACTCCGGAGGAGTTTGTCATAAACTGACACGTACTGACTGCCCAGTGCGGCTGGGCAGGGAATGGCTTTTCAAAGATTTTGATAATTTGAAATTTGACCTCTTTCCATTCAAAACAAAAGACCGAAATGTCAATGTTTTCTGTGAAAGCTGAGCAGAGAGCTGGAGCGGTGCAGCCCGGGGTTCCCCACCCAGGGGTGCTTAGCGGCTGCGGGCCTGGGTACCGCTGCGACAGGAACGGGGTGAAGGCTGTGTGCTGCCACAGCGGTTCTTCTGGTTGTGCTCTCGTGTACCTGCCACGCTGACAAACACTGGAGGGGTGAATGAATGCCACCCTGCTTTCTCTCCTGCTAATTCTGCTCTGGAGCCACCCTGGTCCTGCAGACCCTGGGAGCCCTGAGGTCCCTGATCAGCGCTGCTCTAACCAGACGTGCCATTCAGATGCACGGCATCAGATCCTCTCCTCTGCCTGCATGATACAGTCATTCCCTCCAGCAGCTTAAACAGAGTTGGTCTTGATTTGAACCAGGGAAACTGCAACTCTCTTCTACTTTCCTGCTCATTTAGAAAGTAATGGAAAACATCAAAGCCTCAGCTGGTGTAAATTGGACGTGGCCCCTTTAGCTTCCACAGAGCTACTTTGGTTTGAGCCAGGCAAAGCTCTGCTCTGGGCAGGTGCGGGGACCAGAGTGAGGATTTGTTTCTGCAGGCCACAGCGGAGGAGAGGAGAAGAGCTGCCTCCTGCCGCCTGGGACGTGAGAGGGGGACGGCAGCTCGTCTCTCCTTACCCAGCTGTCCGTTGCGGGAGTCGTCACAGCCACAGTTGTCAAAATCCCCCAGGCTGCAGTTCCGGGTCAGCGTGTACATGACGCCCGCAGAGCTGATGGCATGGACAAAAGCGGTTTCCCGGTTTGCTGTCAAGTGGAAATACAAGGAGAGCAGATGTGCTAAAGATTTCATGGTGAGACCAGTGTTAGAAACGACTCCTGCCATGCAGGAGACTGCGTAGGAAGAGATTTGCAATGGGCAGGGCTTTGTGGGGTGGAGACCAGGCCCTACATGTCAGATTAGCTTAGTTTTGGCTTGAATTGCACAAAGACAGAAGCTCCCAAATTCGATCCAGACTGACTCGTGCCATTTCCAAAGGTGTGGATGAGTTTAGCACTTGGCTGTCCTTGTGGGAGCTCAGCAGTGGGGATACAGCACAGACAGCCAAATGTTCCCCACGTCTCACTAATGCACCCCAGAGGGGAAGGGGCCCTCTCCAAGAATCAAAGAGCTTCTTCCCCACAGCCCCCTCGAGCCTTACCTTCTGCTGGACACTGTCCAGGGCTCAGCGCAGTGACCATACCTACCCACCAGGATCGGTGTGGTGATCATCAGCTGACTTCACTGAGCCTTTGGCTTTCATTTAATACCAGCAAGGTCTGGATCTGAGCAGATAACCTTGACGGGAATGGTTCAGGGACCTGCTCCCAGTCCCAGAGTGTTACTTTGTGCTGCAATTGTCTCCTCAAGGCCCCACTTTGAAACCTCTGTCCACCTCTGCCTGGGTCCCCTGGTCCCTCGTCTGCTGCCACTCCCACCAGAGGCCTGAGGCTCTCCTCCATACCCAGGTCCTGCCTGTACAGGGCAGGTATGAGCTCAGCCCAGCATCATACGCAGGTCTAGAGGACCAGGTACGCACCTGCAAACGGGTAAGGACCGGGATACAGTGACAATGAACCACAGCCCCATGCTCTGCAGTGGCACAGGTCATGGATGCTGGATTTCTGCTCAAGGTGACTCTGACATCTGGAAGCTGTGGGAAGACTTTTCTCCTGCCTCTTGGCCAGAGCACAGCCACTGATGAACTCTTTCCTGGTCCCTTTAGCCATATCCCTCTGCTTGCTACCCCACCACCCCGTGCTGGTTCTCAGCCTCCCTGGGACACCCTGGCGAGAGACACCACCTAGGCATGACGTGTCCAGCAGCCCATGCTGCACGTTGTGGTGGTGCATCCTTGTGGGGAGCCGGTTATGTGAGGGTTGGTGGGACACTCCCCTCCTGCGCAAGCTGGGGCTCGGGGGGTCCGGAGGCGATGCTGGCATTGCAAGGCTAGATCCCAGGGCGTGTCTGGGAGCTGATGGGTGAAGGGGCCTTCTGTAAAGATCCCTCTGGGGCATTTCTGGGAGAGGCACATCCCAGGTGGGGATGGGGAAGAAAAGGAGGCACTTGGGAAGAGAAGAGGGGCTCTAACCTGTAGCAAGGGGGTCCCAGTAGTGGTATCCAATGCTTTCCTTACCGCTGCGCAGCCCGCCGTGGCTGGAGAGCTGCAGTGCCCTCTCGGGGCAGTTCCAGCGGTCCCAGGCGAACTGGAACTTGCACTCCTCGATGCCGCTCTGTGCCCCGGCCGCCACGCTGCTGGAGTAGATGAGATAGGCCTAGGAGCAGAGCAGCAGATCAGGAGAGGGGACGGTGTTTGCCCCGCTTCAGCCTCCCCCAGCATTAACTTGCAAAACTGAGTCAGGGTGCGTTGGCCAGCATGCAGGGACAGCCCTGTGGGCGACAGGCTGGGGATGTCCTCAGGCTACTCCCAGGGTCCAGGAGAGTCACTCAGCAGCTCTAGTTTCCATCACAGGCAGTGCAAAGCTGCTATAGCCACAGCCGCTTCCCACACAGCGGTGGGGCTGATGCAGATGTAGCTTTCCTGCCCTGCGCTGCATATCGTGGGTCCTGCTGCTTTGGGGTCTAGATGGATGGAGAAGCACAGTGCAAAACACCAGGAAGAACATGGCCCCAGGCTCCCCAGGAGGCTGGCGTTCAAGTGAAAATAACTTGCATGCCACCTTACAGAGACAAGATGTACAGAGCTGAGGAGGTCTCTCAGGCTTGGCTCCCCTGGGGAGTGGAGCTCGACACCAGCAGCAGCAAATGCATTTTCTGCTGTGCTGGGTCAGAGCCTGAGCCTCCCAGGGGGAGAAGGCTGAGCTGTTAGCTGTTAGCCACATTAGGAGATGTGCCAGCCAGCCCCTGCAATGGGGAACCCCTTATCTCTCCAGCATGAGAGGAGGCAGAGCCTTCTCCCCAGAGACCAGGGAGCTCCAGGCCAGCAGGTGCCTCAGCCTGCCTCCTCCTTTACTGCAGCCTCAGGAGGACAGCCAGTGCTTTGGGGCAAGGTTGCTTCACCAGAGCATTGAGAGCTATAGAAAGAGCTAGATGGGCTTGGAGGTGTTCCTGGGGAATAGCCAGAACAAAAATCGGGGGAATTTTACAACTGGTCTTGGCTAGGAAAAAAAGCCTCTGAAAGAGGGGTGCAAGGAGGTGGGGGGTCAAAAATACTGAACAAGGTCCTGGCAATTCCAGTTATGCTCCTCGGGGAAGTATTTTTTGCAGGACCTACAGAAAGTACCTTTCCAGCTTGATGAATGTGGGTCCTGATGCTAACCTGATCATCAGGAACAATAGATGACAGGTGAGAGCCTCAGCTGGTGCCAATAGACAGATCTCCAAAATCTGGCCCCAACCAGCTTAAAAGGACCCCAGGCCAACTTTGCTCAGGGCTAACATGTCCCAAGGAGCTGCAGCTTATAGCAGGTCATTCCTGGCCCTCCTCTGCCTTATTGCTGGAAACCTGGGGGTGAGGGGAGCTCTGGCCAAGGCTGGATGGAGAGGAGTGGGAAGGCAGAGCTCCTCCCTCCCTCCCTGGGTTTAGTGGAATCAGGGACAGAGATCAAAGGGATTTCTCTTACCTTGGGGCCCGTCATCAGGAAATTATTCACTGACCTGGAAGACAGAGACGGTGTCAGCAGGGAGGGGGTGACAGCGGAGGGGCCTGGGGAATGCCTGGCATCCCGGGGCTCTCCTCTTGCTCCCTGCAGCCTGCCTGTTTCCTGGCTGCAGGCACCTTTGGTCTCTCTCCCTGCAAGCCAGGA